TATTGTTGAATAACATCAAGACTTGGCAACATATGGGATATTAATATTTGACAGAATTGCATTAGTGAAATTCAAATGGCTACTAGAATTTTCTCTTATTCTATAAGAAACAAAGAATAAACTAATTTTAAAAATTCCTAAAAATACTGACGAAACTATTTAATATGAAGACTATTTCTCTCGTCACAAACCTAGTAGGATTTTCTAGTGTTTTGTAGAATTTACAGCTATAGAGCAGACTGTCGATGTTTTGCACTGTTTTAGTTGACACATGAATAGTATTCTATTATTAGTATGATGGGTTTTTGCTGCTTCAATTGTATAATCAACAGTATAGTTATTAATAAATATAGATTAGACGATTTTTTATTACTCTTCTACATAATCTGAGTCGGTGATAGAGATGACAAGTGACTCTGAAAGATTTGATTGAAAACTAAATATTGAGGTTTCTCTAATTGACCGATTGCAGGATTGATTCAACCAAGATTATACATTATTACTAACTGCAGTTCAGATCAGGAAATTGAGATAATTTATAATAAGCAAGTTCTAATTTGTATTGTAGCTCTACTTTGAAGCTTTTAAATTTTTCTAAATCAATGTATTTAACATACAGACACAAGAAAATCTAAATGAAACTTCATATGAGACGTAGATACATTTTACTGTTGATAATAAAGAATTGCCTTTTTGTTTCAATATGAACTAAATTGAGATTCTCTTATTCGTTTTGGTCTCTGATAGAATTCACACTAAAGTTGTTTTTATATTGAACTTAAAGAAATTCATGGTTTTCTTTTTGTGGCATAACATGATCGTAAAAACACAGATTACTAAACTAACTGGTTTATCATCTGTTTATAGTAGTAGGATTCAAATAGTTAATAATTTATCAATGAGTTTTAGATTGTAATTATTGACAAGTACAATATCAATACAATATAACAAAAAGGGGATGAATATTTATTATTTATACGTTCATGAATGTCAATTTTCATTGAGATTCTACGGAATTAATATACTAAATGTTAGAAAATCCGTTTATTAAGAACCCAAGAATAAATTAACATAAATGAGAGTTAACATAAACTGAATATTAAAAAAAAAGTAAATGATGGTTAAGAGGCTTTATTTTTCAAAATTTGGACGCATAGTTGCGAAATGTAGAGTTTTTCCTAAAGAAAAACAATAGTTTCGATAATAAAAATTTTTACTGTTCAGATGTTTTTTAAAATGAAGTCTAGACTATCTTCGATTCTTTGATATCTTAAAAGTTTTAATTTATCATGTTTATTCGAATACAATCATATTTTAGAAATATAGTTTAAAATTCATTAGTCTTCTCATGGTTCTATCAACATATCTTTAGTTTATCATGTCAATTAATTATTGTATTTATTAAATTTTACTACAATTGTTTTTATTTGCTTTACGTTTATATTATTTCAAAAATAAATATTACTAAAATAGAAACAATAAAAGAAATTTATGCAAAATCAAAAAAGTTAACTATACTTATTAAAAGTTTTACTTCATCGATCACAAAATTCAGTTTGAGTATATCGAAGTCTTCTATTGTTTGTATATTTGGAATTTTTACAGTTGAATAATGTATAATATTAAATTCATACGACAAACAATTGCAAACATTAAAACATTTCGCACATCATAAAATAGTCGTATATTTGTCGGCGTTAAGTATCGAAAAAAATATACTATTTTAATCCATTAGTGATATTTACATATCTATTTGTATGAGTTTATTTGCCTAAGACCAATAAATCGTGTTTTTTTTGTGGTACACATCAGACACATAAAGAGTAATAGATACAAAAGTCATTGGGCAGTCTTTATTTGCAGAGTATATTTGATAGAAACTTGACTGAGAACTGCGGCTTTCACCCTGTCGCAGAATTTGTGTCATTACATGACTCTATATATGATTTAATAATGCCCGTTCATAATCGAATTGTAGATCAATGGGCTTCATAAAAATATTCATAGCTCTATGGAAATGATACAGAAATTTACTTCGAAGAAATGTGTTAGATTCACATTCTAATTAGAAATGTTTATCGTAATTCGCTGAAGAGTTATAGATGGAAAAGGGTGTGAATTGTGAGCATGAAAGTTTGGCACATTTCCTAGAATTTAACTTCTATATCATTTTCATCGAACTGTTAGTATTTTTGTGAAAGGTAACTGACTCATAATTCGATCATCATCCGGCATTGTTGAATCATACGTGGAGTCATGCAATGACATAACCACAACTCTTTATCTTGTTTCAATGAAAAGTTATTCGTAATCACACCTTGACGGATTAACTTTTCTACCATGCTGTATTTTACACTTGCTAAATTTTTATTCAACTAGAACATAAATAGGATAATTTAAAAATTTATTTCCTACAATCAAAAGAAATTCTATTTTCATTATTTATAATCATTTTATTGATTAAGTGTAGTAAAATCAAAAGGATCAAGTTCATTAAGAATAAATCATGTTTTTGAACTTGCATCAACGATAGTATGTCCAATGACATTAATCGCTTGATCTTTTATTTTTTTTGCCATATCGCTACATAAGTTAAAAATTGACATTGAACTATTCGTTGATATAATTATATCATCGTAAATATCCATTGTTGGTCTTTCATCATTCATTGATTCGATTTCTGACTTATTGTATAAAATTTTCTTAGCCATGAATAATGATTTTTTATCTGAAAAAAAAGAACAATGTATGATCTAGGTTTAAGACTTTATTATTTGCTTATATTAAGACTATGACAATTAATCTTCTCGTTTTTTTCTGTTTTCTGCTATTCAGATTTATTGATCATCAAGTTTTTTTCTTTTGTATGCATCAATGAGGCTTCAAGATAGTTAATTGAGTAACAAAACATGCAATGACTAAAAATAACAACATGTCTATTCGACTAGCTACAAAAACAAATTCTTCAAACCAAAAAGCAAAAAGAAACGAACAGAAAATAGATGATGAATTTTTTTGTATGACAAAACACTTGTGATAAAAAAAGTGAATGACATGCTTCGTCAACATTTGATAACGATGGTTGGTTTAGGTTAATAATAGTCAGATATATTTCCATATGATTTATAAATGTTTATTGTGCGTTATATTTTCATTTGAATAGTATATTCTGCAAGTATATGTCACGTAAGACGATATTGAAGGACAATACTAGAACTCAACTGGTGATTATTTGAAGAAAACAAATGATAAGATGACCATACAAAATAAATTACGTTACCTTAATTTTATTTAACGATCGTATACAAGAAAAAAAACTCATCATTAGATTGATCTAATCAACACAAATGATGTTTTAACAGGAAATCAGTGATGACAACAAAAGAGAACTACTAGAGACGCCCACTTTTCCTTTTTGAAGAAAAAAAAAAACATTTTTTTCGTTCATGATCTTTTCCTTGGTTAAATGAGCCTTATTTATGATTAGTTTGTTGGCCACTAGCATGCATAAAAAAATAACCGCATATTCACTTATATGTTGCTAAAACCAATCTCTTTTGACTTTCTCTCGTTTTCAATCGCTTTGAATCACATCTAGCATGAAAGGGATTGAAAAAGAGAGAAAGATACATGAAAGATAAAAAGACCACTCTTAGCAACACATAAGTTAGTCTGTGGTCATTTTTTATGTATGCTTGTTATCCACAAGCAAATCATGGATAAGATTTGATGAGAGTTATTCACCAGAATTATACTTAAATAATTTATTCAGCATAAATACGATATTACATAAACGATTTGACAGAAATTATAACAATATAAAATAAATGGAGAAACATTTCTCAACCAAATATTCAGTTTGTTTTTTTTTGTTCTTAGAAGTTTGATTTATCTAATAAACGAGGCTCATATAGACAGACAAATGTTAAAAATTAAACTAAAAAATACAGCAACAGTCAGTTAGTTTTACTATTTTTGTACGCTTAGTACCATCCAACAATAACGAAAAAAAAAATTTAGTTGCCAATTACTGTCATGTTCTGTCGTCATCACATAATGCTTTAACAGGATGAAATAAAACGTATGAATTTATAACTATTTCATAATCCATGTACCATTTTTATCTTTTTTATAAGCATGACATTGCGTATTTCTATTCCAATATTGATCAATATGTTCTAATGATTGTTGTTTATGATCTTTATCATCAAGAAATAGTTTTAAACAAAGTTCACACATATATTTTGGCATTTTTATATGAAGTGCATATTGTCGCCATTGAAAATATTCTAAATAAGCTGTTGTATTTTTATCAAGATAATCAATATATGTAGCAAGTTCACGTGGTGTTGTAAAATTTCGAACATCAATATATCCTGTTGACGGAATATAATGATCATAACGTCCCCAACCAAGTACAACTGGTATAATTTGTGCACTTTCAAGTGCAAGAAAGAATTTTTCTGTTACATATTCTTCACATAAACTATTTTCAAAAGCTAAATAAAATTTATATGTTGAATAAGCAAATTGACGACAATTGGGAACTTTAGGACATGGTCGTCCACACTTGCCATAGACATCAACAGATATATACTTTTTTAATTCATTAATATAATGTAAACGACTACTTGAACCACCACAATTAGACACAATAGCAACAAGAATTTTGCCAGATATTTTTGTTTTTAGTATTGATTCAAAATTATAATTTGGATATATTTTATAGTTAAATAACCAGAAAAAATTTCTTAATGTTGTTGCTGTTATATCTGAATCAGGTCGATATGTTTGAGTATAATTAAATATTCGACCATGTTGTTCCGAAGATAAAGTTGGTGAATGCATTGGTGATTCTTTTAAAAAGAAAATAAATCTTTGATTTGAATGACGTGTTATATTATTTAATTTTTTATAATTAATCGATTCTCGAATATGAAGTAGTGATGCATCACTTTGTGAAAACAATTTATGATCAATTGTAACATGACATGCATTAACTGATATAGGGCAATTATTTGAATTAAGATCATTTGCATAAACACCATTTTCATTTGCGTTATACCAATATGCACTACCAAAAAATTTTGTATAATAAAGTATTAATTTTGTTTTATTTGGCCATGAGTAATTAATTGTTTGAATTGGTGTCTGTAATGATTGAAGAATAAAATCAAGAATAGAATTTGTTTTAATATTATTAATTTTTTTAATATAATCTATCCAATAATTTCGTATACGTATTGTTATTTCTGTTTGATTATTTGAAAATATTGTATAGTAAGGTATTGGTTGATTATAGTAAAGTTTCATCGTCAAAGGATAAAATATTGCTTGTGAGTTAATTGGAATTTGATTCAAAATATGAAATATTGGTTCATTTTCTAATAAAGTTTTATTTGTAAGTAAAAATAAAAAACATTCAGGACATTGTTCAATATATTTTAAAACTGGATTTGGTATCGATAAATTATTTTTAAGGAAATTTTCGTTATTATTTCTTTTTATTGATATAAGTGAAAATTCTATTCGATTTTGATATATATAAAGAAATATCGATAGAAAACCAATCAATGCAAATAAATAAATAATGTAAGAAAAGTATTGCAGAAAATTCATATATAAGTTTTTTTTGTATTATTGTTCTTATAGTGAGATGTACCATAGGTTTTTTTCGTTGTGTTCAAAAATCTAAACTATATAAAAAAAAAAAAAACAACTTATAAACCAATGAAATGTGAGCCTTGTTACGTTCTATTCAGTTGTAAAACGTTGAAGAACAGAAAAAAGCTCTTTCACAACCAAGAAAAGAAAAAAAAAGCCGAGTAATTATTAAAAAACAACTGCTTGCTTTTATAAATGCACATGTACGCACCATTGTGTACCAATGGCAACGGCAAAAACTAAATAAAGAACAATTGTAACTTTTAGAGTTTTGATTTCTTATTTATTTTCAAGAAATATTTGAATTTAGATATACGATAAGAATTAATTTGGAATTATCAACCATGCAATAAATTAGGCTTATTTAAATTTGATGAAAATTTATTAAATTTACATACTTTAGAAGATTATTATGATTTAAATCATAGATAATCTGAATTATAAAACTATTTAATCTGTACTAAATTCTGAACTTATTCTTCATGTTCATTCTTTTTTCTATTATTAATGTGAAATATATCCATGATTCATACATTCTTTAACAAATATACTGTTATTCGATACAATATTTAAATATGAAGCAGTTGAGATGTTAGCTGTTTGGAGCTCTCTATTGACATATGCTGAGACCTTCATATCAATATCTATGAAGAAAAAACTTCACGTCAGTAAGAAAAAATGTAATACGATCATAATCCTTAAGATTTGAGATTCAGGAGACATCTTGTCTAATTAGAGAATTTAAAAAAAAAAATTGAAGCCTTACATGCAAAAAAGTATACTAATCTTTGAGTTACCGACGACGCATTTATGCGCCGCGAGCATAACTATTGTGTCAACCTAACTCAATCGCTGATAATGTATATTTTTTTGTATGCACTCGCATAAAAGCAACCGTCGAGCAATAGAAGCTTTTATATCATCATTTTTCTATAGTACACATTAGATTCGAATCAAAAGCTAGTTATAACGACTTTTCTGAAAAATTCTTCTTCATTTTTTGGGTCAGTAACCAAAGGTTTGATAAATATAAAATAATTTCATAATATATACTAACAGGTGGTACGAAAATTTCTGAACAAATGTTTCTTTGATTGATCTAGAGATTACGTAATTCAGTAGAAAATTTGAAGCATTTCATTAAGAAAGAGAATTTCGTGCACTTTTCGAACATATGCTCGTAATTTCATAGGTTAAGAGCTATGAGTGAATTTTTGATGGACTCGAAAATAAAACGTCGATGCAAATAGTTGAATTAACACATTTAAAAATGATTAAGTTTGATTATAACTCATTGAAAATTGGTTATGCGTTATTGCTTTTGGCATTTTCTTATTGGTGTCACAAGGGTGTTAAATTCAGTTTAATTTCACCTGCTTTTGCTTGACTAAATCACATTCTGAACTTATTCGAATCAGCATCTAGACAACATCTGCACGTCTTTCACATTGATAGTGCCCTTGTTGAATATCTTATATTACAATTTTTTTTTTGCATAGCGTAAAGAACGAGACAATTCTCTATAAAGTGAGCTAAGATCTGAAAGTTCCACAGCAATCATTCAGAAAAAATCGAATTGATTTTGTAAATCTAGAAAACAAGCAGTTTCAAAGACGTCAATGTATCTTTTACTAAAAGTCTTTCTATTGATGAAAGCGTTACAGAAAACTAATGATTAGGTCATCATTTTATTCAGAAATATTCTCTCTTTCTTTCAGTGTATGTGCAATTAAGTTCTATTTCGTCAGAGCTTTCAAAGATAAGCTTACAAATCCTACCTTATGAGTCTTACAGAAATTTTACATAAAGGCAAAAAAAAATCTCATTCTAACGCAATACTTTAAATTTTCTGCTGATCTCTATAATAGATCAATCAATGAAAGAACACATGTTGTCTTGAATTCTTTGCATCACTCATTATTATCCAATTCGACAGAACTATTATACGATATTCTATTCCATTTTCATGCTATCGAAACTATAGAAATTAAATTATGTTGCCTAAGTTAAACAAAATAATAATCAACTAGTCATATATAGTTGATGAAAATTTTTTGCCACAATAGAAACGTCAATATCGAAATATATGCTTGCCATCCATGTATAATTCTTTGATATAGAAATAATTTTTATAAGATCAATAGATGCCAAATTTAGAATTTATGTTATTGTTGATCTTATCTTATTCATGCATACATAACGACTTATGACACATCTTTAGCCTTATATATGTTTTCTGATATATTTCATCGTCATATGTTGTATTTATAACATGGAAATTTCGATGCATATAATTAAAACGCATGTTTCTTTCTTGTTCCTATGACTATGTTGTACTATTTGAAATAAAATCAGTTGAGTAAGCTGCATGTGAAGAAAAAAAATGATTCAACGAATCGCTGCAAACCATGATGAAAAAATCCATTATAGTGATTAACGTACTACACGTAAGAGATTTTTTTCAGTGCTTACACCTTAAAGCCATACATTAACATATACTTTCTCATAAAATACTTTTACTGCAAAGAAAAATCAAAGATAAATAAATGTTGATGAATTCGCTAGAAGCCTAACAGTAATGTTACAATAAGGTTTAATTACTTTATTATTTTTTATGTTTATACATCGTATGTGTAATGTATAAAGAACTAGTTTGATTATAGTTACGTATTGTTCAAATTTTCCATGATGCCATTTTTGATGGAAACGTTCGATGTGATTTTTTTCAATCTTGCTGAATTCTTGAATATTTCAAACTTGAATGAAATAGATGTTATTTTAATTAGACATGAAGAACTTGAAGTGTTTGATCTTTTTATATATGATGTGAATTAGAAATACCAATTTGTTTATGATGTACTTATTTATAGCAGAATTTTATTTGATTTTTCATCTCTTAGAAGAATTATTTTCATAGTGAAAACAGGTAAATGTTGTAATATATGTTATAATATATCCATACTATGAAAAAATTTACTCGTAGTTCATATTGAATTTAATAGTTTTTCTGAAATTCATAAAACGTTTTCTTCAAATATGAAGTTATTAATCAAAGTTTTAATTCATGTTTCAAACTTAATTATTTTTTGTACAAATATGTAGTATTTACTCATTGTTTTTCAACTAATAGGTTAATTAAATCTTACAATTCATACAAAAGATAAAAACTCAATGTCTCATATGATATCGAATATACATTTCAAATGACTAAAAGTAGAGAAGAAACTCACTTGTATGAAATAAATATTTTCAAATTATCTTTACAGATATCATATGGATATTATACTTTTAAAATATTTTTAATTTTTTACGCATGATCAAGATGAACTTTCTTTAAGAATTTTCAAATTTAATTTATGTAATGTCATTGAATATAATGACCTAGAAAAAAAATTCCTATATTAGATATTAATAATATAATGTTTTTTTTTCTTCCATGACTAATATATCTTCATTATATGTCAGTTGAGTTGTAAAAATTCAGACAATACCTCGAGACATTTTGCATGATCTTACTTTTATTATACTATTAAATAAGAATATCTTATTATAAACAATAATTTCTATTCATAATTATAAAACAAAGATAATCAACATGCATGATAACTTATTAATATGTATCATTCAATATTTATGTTATTATTGATTTAAAATTAACTTTTTATTATCATATCAAGCAAAATTTTATAAACTAACTTTTAGATTTAATTGAAGTCCTGTAAGATCATCGGAATCATTCGAATTGGAACATATCGAAAAATCATATGTCGAGAAAAACCAGGTTTCAAACATCAAATTATACCGCAAGATTTTAGATCTGATATAAAATTTTTCTACTTCTATTATAATATAAACATATGCCATATATATTTTTCATAAATTCTTTTTTTTAAAGATAAAATCTGACGATTCTATCTCACTTTGTCTTTTCCATAAGAATTCAATGTCAATACGAAAAAAAAGAAAAATGTTGAAAGAAAATAACATTCCCGAGAAGAATATTAATTAAGTGAAAGTTCTTGTCAAGAGTAAATATTTTGTTTATATAAGTCTATCTAATAGTATGCATCGTTTATATTTTTACACGCACCAAATGAATTCTTTTCCAGATACTGTTAAGGCTCCACTTTTACGGCCCATTAAAACCAAGATCTTATATAATACAAATTACATAAATGATTAACTATTAGTGATAACATTTTATTCTTTCAAACAAAAGAAAAAAGAAAATTAATAAATAATTGACTCAAACTTCTAATAACTTTTTATTGAACTATTTTATAATTGACAGTATTAAATTTCCAATAGTATCAATAAATTATTTATATTCATGGTGATATTTTGAATCTAAAACGAAACAAGAAATACAAGACAATGACTAACTATTCTACTCATAGGTCACACACATATATCTCTATCATATATTGTATGATTAGTTCGAATGCAAGTTTTTTCAATAACAAAAATAAGAAGCAGTAGCTTTGTTCACTTTTTTTTTAACTACAAAAACAAAAATATATGAGAATTAATATTCGAAATTATGCAATATCATTCTGTCTTACTTGACTTTTTTCTCATGATAAAATCCATTCCGATTGACGGAACATCAAGGGTATACAACATTGGATTCTTTTTTTAGACAATTATAC